CCCTTATGATAGACATACAAGCTTTTTCAAATGTTACACTCTTAGAAAAGATGCGGCGCTGAACATTCCTTTCTATACATCTTTTGTCACAATGGTGTCTACCTACTGATCAGTGTGAGTTTTTGTAGGAATGTAGTGCAATGGTGTAGGCTGGGTTTGAACTCTGGCTCTGGACTTGACTGTGTGTCTTTACACAAATCACCACTTTTCTAGGCTCCAATTTTCTCATGTTTAAGTGGAAGCAATCATACTAGTGAGGCCTACAGGTATTGGGAGGATTAAATGAGATAATGCATGTAAAATAGTTGGTTAGTGCCTAGCATATAGCAAGCCCTAAATCAATATTAGCTATTACTATTATTATGGCCACAACCCCTGAGGAAGACTGATTCTTCAAAATAACTCCCATAGTTTTCTATTACTCTTTAAGAGAGAGTAATTGGAGTTTCCTGAAGAAGTTTTTAGATGTAAAACTTTTGTAGCTAAATTAATATTTCTAACCTAATTTATCCAGAGGATAAATAATAAATTTAAATGAAATGCGGGCTGTAGACCTACTAACTATGTTCTGTTATAAAGCTTACCGCCATTCAAAACAGAAAAAACATAGCTTTTCATTGAAGGTTCTTGTTTTGTGATAAATAAAGCCACTGTCGATTCTTTCTCCTTTGGAAAATGATCAAAGCACAGCTTATCCCATAAAATAAGCAGAATATCTATGCTATCACCCATGCAGCTTCTCAGAGCCTTCAAGCTCTTCTCGCCTGCTTTTCTTTTGTATTAATGGGCCCCCACTATTTTATATTCCTAATAGGTGTGAGTGAGAGCACAGAAGCAGGAGTCGCCATCTCTGAAACTTTGCTTATAATCTGGGAAGATATCCAAGAGTCACGCTGGGGCAGATTTCAGGTTCATATTCCAATCTGAAGCTTTGGAAACTAATCACTACTCCTACCAAAGCCTATACAGCTAATCCAACCACACGCCACCCCTATTCTCTGAGGGTTGTCAAAAATAAGGAAACTCTCACCATCGTTAAAAAGCTGGGTGGAAGCTTCAATGTTGGATGGCCAAATTCAGAAGTCCGAGGTCAGTGACCAAAATTCACAGTGACCGAAAGATTTCCAAAATGCTGCCGGTAGCTCCATGCTTACTGTGCCTTCCTCTTCTGCTCCATTGACCATCGTGTACAAAGACATTCAGCAGGATTGGTGGAGTGAATGTGGCTGTGTAAATGAGTCCTTCCTGGACACCGCTTTTATTGAATCTGAGCACCAAACTCTGGGAAGTCCTTGCCTATAACTGATGCACAGAATGACCCCGATGTGTCTTTGCTGTGGTATGCCATCCTTCTTTCCAAGAGCAACCAGTTACATTCTACCCTAAGGTTTCACACTTGTAGTGACTGTGTCAACTTCGCTAGGCCAGAAACACAGTTTCCTAGGATTGTCTTCCCTGTGTGGCTCTGAGTTAAGGTTGGCCAGAAGAAAAGTTGGAGCAGGATGTGGGAGGTGGAAGTGAAGCAGCAGCCATGGTGTTCTGAAGTCTAGTGTAAGACCAGGTGCTAGTGTCACTGGCGTATATTGGCACTGGTCCTCTGGCACACCTTGTTGGTGTGGGACAGCAGTGGGGCCCGCAGCAACTCTAGCTCCCACAAGATCTCCTCTTCCAGCGTCTCCATAGCCTGGGCCAGGTGCATGTGCACCGCCATGGCAAAGGATGCTGGCTCCTTCTCCAGGTTGGAGGCAGGAAGAGGCAGATGTAGCTTCCACTATGTCTTCACAGGTTTTAGTTTGTCCTCTTGGGTTGAGTGGATCTTTTCAGGTTCCAGTTTGACCTGGATACAAACCCCACTCTTGACCCCTTAATTCCAGCACCAGCTGATGTTGACTGAGTGCTCACCATGGGCCTTATCTTTATTACTTTATTTAAACTTCACAACATCATAGGGCAGGTATCATTCTACAGATGTGGCAATTGAGGCGCAGAGAAGCCCAGCCTACTTTCCCAGGGTCACAGAGCAAATAAATGATGGGGCTGGGCAATCTGCCCATAATTTGTGGCTTCTTTCCCTGGTGTGGGCTGATGTGCCTCTCCAGACCGTGAGAACCCGCAGCACGATGGCTGAGTCAGGCATCGTGACATTCCCCACACTGCCCGGCACACGGCCCTGTATACCCAGCAGCCAACACAGGCTTACTGACTGAAGCACACAGGTACAAAAGGTGAGGAGGGACATTATTTTCACAAGAAAACATCCTGTCCTCGTTGCAAACTGCCAGCGAATAACACTCTCTCTCTCCTCTCATGGGCCCTCATGAATAAATAAATAGCAAGTGACTGAAATAGTAAATATAAAGCGGTGTGGTACGGTCTTCTGTAAAGTTTTGTTGGAAATATTCAATCCGAAAGTGTTACTGCCCATGGTGTAAGTAACCACCACTCTCAAAGACAAACTTCCAAAGAGCACATCAGTGATGCCTGCACAAATCTCACGTCACCTCCTCTCCTCCACACCGGCACTAAAGTGTCATTAAGAAGGAGAAATTTAAAGAATTTATAAGCGGAATTAATTAGTGACAAAAATTATTAATGTCCTCCAGGATAAAGGTACCTAAGAGGCTGTTTAATCAAATTCCCTTGTCCCATCAAAGGAATGTTTGCTGACACGGCAAGCCCAGGCCCTGTCTACCTGCTCTTAGTTTTCTGTTCCAACTCACTCGTGGAGGAGGGGCCCTGGCTGGGTTGCGAAGAGTGGAACCACTTTGTCCTCAGGCAGGGCAGGGCTTGTCTATGAGTGAGGCATTGCTATTCCACCCTGCTTTACTTTCTTTGAAAAAGGGGATGATGATAATGATGGTTGTGTGGATGAAAATAGGATAAATCACGTGCAGTGTCAAGCATAGGACCCATGGTTAGAAGCTATTCTCAACATTCAGGATATTAACACGTTCCAGGGCACCTGTAAACACTTCTTGAAGAACCATAAAGCCCTCAATGTGGCCTGGCTCTTATTTGACACTTCCCAGTGGGGAAGAAGAATTCAGAAAGATAGTTGAGAGAAAGAGAGAGAGAAAAGGGAAGGGAAGGAAACGGAGGGGAGGGAAGGGAGAAAGAAAGAGTATAAGAGAAAGAGGCGGCAGTGGGCAAGATGGAAACTCTCCCCGGGCTAGAACACAGGCCCAGTAAAGGCCAAACATGCGCTTTTGTAGGACGCCTGCAGCCAGAGGTGCGAAGCAGAGCCCAGCGGACGCTGCATCCTCCACAGTCGCCACCAGGGCCAAAGGAAGGGCCAGGTGCAGTGGAAGCATTCTCGGAGGCACAGAACACCGGGCAGGGTTCTGCACTTGTACTCTGACTTGGGCTCCTTGCTCCCGACCTGGAGGACTTGTTGCTTTGGCGAGGGACGGCTTGGGTTTCTGGCAGCGTGCAGTGCATCTGAGCAGCGAGAGTGCTCTGCAAACCCAGCCCCAAGCTCCCGCTTCCCCGCACCGGTGGCGAGCAAGGCGGGCTCCGCTCTCAGCGCGTCTGGCAACCACCCAGCAAGCAATCTCCTAGCTCACTGTTTCATCGGAACCCCTAGGCTGCTGTGTGGACTTTGGGGGAGAATGGAACACAACCAGAGTCCCATTCCTCATTGGTTACGGACTTCCTGGAGGGGAGCGTCCTGCTCCCAGCCCACAAGGCGAGGGAAAGTCCCTTCCCTTCAGCGCGCTGGGGCCGCCAGAGGCTCGGCGCTTGCTCCAACGCCAGGTCTGCGTCTCTCGCTCCTCAAGACCTCGGGGCCAGGAGCCCCGCGCCCACGGGCGGGCCTCGAGGGCCAGGCGGAGAGACGTCCTCCCAACATTTCCCCCAGGGCTAAGGGGCTTAGCGTGACGTCTCGTATCCCCCGGCTCTAGCCGCGCCCCCAATCGGCTGGCACCGTCCGGCAAAGCCCCTTCCTCAGGCCAGTCCCCCGGCCCCACCCCAGACGGCAGGAGGGCGGCGAAGATGCGGGGTGCAGCTCCCCTGCCCCACCCTTACACGCCCCCTCCCGGCCCCCTCCCAGCCCCCTCCCAGCCCGCGCTCCACCTCCTTTCGGTCCCGCCCTGGCCGCGTGCGCGTCCCCACAGGTCCCACCCACCAACGCACCGCGCGACTGGACGTGATGGGAATAGCGGTCCTCTAACCCAGAGCCGGCAGACTTTGAACCGGAGGCAGATGCGCTGTGGACCGGCAAAGGAGCCGACCCGGGCATCGCGGCGGCTCTCGGAGCAGAGCACAGCCGCATCGACAGCGCCCGGGACAGGGAGCCTCTGCCCGGGTGCAGCCGCCGAGACCCCGGCTCCCGCAGCCTGGGAGTCGAGGAACTCTGGCAAGAACTGCAAGGTGAGTGCCTGGCCCGGGACAGGTGCTGTGGCCAACTCGAGGAAGCGTCCTTTCCCTGGGAGAGGCAGGTTACAGGACGCCGCCGCTGGTCTCAGTTCGCGGCCCTTCCCCCATTCCAGATATGAAGCCTCCCATGATGTCAGTGATTGTAGCGGGAGATGAGGAGGAAATATGGTCCGAACTGGGGCAGGGAGGGGGAGGACCAGGAGGAGGAGGTGGCGGCCAGGAGCCCAGGAAGCAGCAGCAGCAGGAGCTGACCTCCCCAGGTCCCTCAGGAGCCAAAGCCAGGGGACAGGGAGCAGTGCCTCTACCGCACCACGTTCACCCCCTTGCAGCTGCAGATGGAAAGCATTTTACACCGCTCTGAGTACCCCGACATTTTCCCGCTGTATACGGCTTGCTCCTGGAGGTGCCTAGTTCTCCAGGGGTCTTGGGGTCTCTGGATGCCTCGGGCTCTCTTCCGGAGTCCCTTCTCTCCTCTTCAGAGCCAAAAGTCGCCTAGTGGGCGCAAGGCCACCAAGGCCCCCTCCCGCAGGGCTCTGGGGTGGGGGCAGTACCTACTGGGAATCAAGGTAAATATTTTCATGCAGGATTTAAATCCATCAAGTAGGAGGGAAACTTTGGCCAGAGGCCTGTTTTGTAAATAACATTTTATTGGAACTGTGCACGAGGCACAGTGGAGCAAGTGCAGGGTCAGATCCTACCTATATCTAAATTTTGATAATTTTTTCATCATGGATTATTTTTGCATTCATTTTGATACTTGTTAAATTTGTTAAAACATTATCTTGATCACTGATTGTTTTGGTGCCACATTAAATTTTGTGCGGGAAGGAAGACCACCCCCTAAAGCAAGCCTTGAACTGGGTATTACAGAAAATTCTGCTGGGGTGGGGGGCATAAGAGGGAGAGAAATTTTAAAACAAGCATGAAATAACATCCATATATTTAGTTCCATTCACATATCTGAATATTGGACATTTGTGCTTTTGTCTTCTCAGAAAGGAGATTGCACTGTGCATGAGTGTGACTGAAGCCAGGGTGCAGGCGAGTAAACCTGAACAAAGCAGCTCTGCAGGGCAGCCATTCGAAACCCGCTTCAGGACTTGGACACCTCTGTCCTGGTCATTCTCACGTTGGTTTGTTTTCATTGTCTTTTCCATGACTGGAAAATAAGTTTTGAATTTGGGGAGCTTTAAGGGAAACAAAATGGGATAAGTAAATTTCAGATTATGGAAATTGCCCATTACCAGTGGGAACACGAGTTCCTAAAGGAAAAAAACAATAGAACACAACCACTTTTCCTATACCTGTACCACATTTATATATATATTTTACAATAAAGTTCAACTCCTCTGATATAAGAAAATTTTTATATTAAAGTATATGGGGAAGCCATTCTGGTTTGAATTTGATTTGACCTGAATTTCATTTGAACCAAAGAAGTCTGATTTACGGCCTGTCAAACATACATTGTACATCTGCTTTAATCATTACCCTAAAGCAGAGTGCACTTTTTGACGATAAGAATTAATGCCTCCCTTCCTATGATGCCAGGGTCATGTTGACCCGCTGTACCCGTGCTAATCTGTAACAAAGATCTCCTTGAAGGAATGTACCCCTGTCGTGCTCGATGTACATCTCTTTGTTTTGAAACGGTATATAACTGTGCTGAAAATCGCTCTTAGCCAGAGCGCTTTCTTCCCTTGTGAAGGCTGTGACTCCTAGGCTATAGTCCTCAGTTTGGCTCAAATAAAACTCTCTTCTTTTCTTTTACAATAGAATGATTTTTAATTATTTGTGTCAATACCTCCTAACACAGGTATCCTTTAGGGAAGATGTTGGCCCTCCCTAAAGGAATACTTCTTTCTTCTATGTAGTCATGATGGGACTCAGTCTGACTTGGAAGTATTCAAATTAATGCACTAAGGAGCTGGGTTATAAGAGAGCTCAATTATACTATTTAAAATATTTAAAACCAAGCATAACCTCTGAGCTAAAATGAGTAATTGTGTAAATATCTCACCACTGGCAGAAGGGAGTAACTCGTCCACAGAGCACACTATCTGAATAACTAATGCCTATGTAGTTACACTGAGACTGACGGCAGGAGCTAGCTTAAAGTCGAGTCCTCCTGCTGTTGTTTTTAAGCATTTGGTAAAGCAATGTAGGGAGTGGCATCCCTAAATTTGTCTAAAAAACAAAACAAAAAAAGAACAATTATGAATAAAATTCCCTTAACCTAAAAAGGGTGAAAACGAGAATTCTAATGTACAGTCAAAATATGCCTTGCACATTGCACACAAATTCAATGTTATGAAACTACTAACTGCTTAAGTGAATATTCTCTTGAGGAATTTCTGAGATCTGAGGATTTTTTTTCCCTTTTGGTGGTACAATTATAACAGGTGGGTTTCGTGGAATTTGTTTGGTGCTGGTGGGGTGGCTGTCAATTCAGGGTAGATTTGTACCTGTGTTAATCTGAAGTACTTTTTCATTTTCTAAGTAGTGATAACTTATTTGTAGGTCATGGGATCAAAAGGTGACTACTTGAGCTGATAGAAAGCCGTAAGTTGTATCAAAGAAGTATGGGGGGGATCAGGATAGGATCGGCTTATGCTTTGCTGCAGAGACCGTGTGTGAGGGCAGTGATGGAAACGGGCTGCAGACCTAGTGACGGGGTGTCTGAGAAGCAGCCCAACAAAGCAGGCCACTGAGTGCTGGCGTCCTGAGGCCGAGGGCGGGGCTCACAGTCAGGTCTGGCCAGGGCTTGGGAGGACCAGGCCTCTACTTTGCAAGCAGGCAAAGCAAATTTTTTTAAGAAAAACTTAAAAGTTAGGTGACTTGCTTTTCCTGGGTTTACATAGTGGTCTCTTAATGGAGCTCTGAAGGGAAAAGGAGCCACAAGAAATAAATAAGGGAAAGAAAATCTTCTCATCCACTTCCAAACTCTACAGTATGAATTCTCCAAAGAAACTCTTTATGTGCTTTTCCCCCTCTCTTTTGCAAATATGGTAGACCTGTTTTATGTAACCAGTATTGGGAATAGGGACCTACTATTGGCCCAGATGACAGCCCACTGTGGGCTCTGGCTGTTTAGGGAGGTCTGACCACTGGTGCATTTGAATCTCTCCAAAATAAGCTCTATTACACTGGCCTTCTTTAGACTGTATACTCATGCAGAGGAAGGATCCAAACTCTTCAAATCGGAGAGCAAAAGCCAGGAGGCAGGCAGGGAGAGGAGGCCCACAGTGTCACAATTTGTACTTTGGGAATTTCCAAAGGACTAAATGCAATGTAAATCCCATTAACTAGGATGCTGAGTGGACAGAGGTTTAATTGACATGACTTTGTTTTGTTTTTTAATAGTTGCCAGGCATTTAGGGAAAAACCTTTTGTGTGACCCCTGCCTCCACATTGTTGTCGGCTTTTTTAATTAATTAGTTTTTATTGAGGTATAATTGATATATGACATTAAACTAGTTTCAGGTGTACAGCGTAGTGATTTGATATTTGTATACATTGCAAAATATCACCATAAGTCTAGTTAATATCCATCACCATACATAGTTACAAAAACTTTTTTCCTGAGAATTGACTTACTCTCAGCAACTTTCAAATATGCAATACAGTATTATTATTAACTATAGTCACCATGCTGTACATTACATCCCTGTGACATTTATTTTATAACTGCAAGTTTGTACTTTTTGACCTCCTTCACCCATTTCTCTCACCACACCCCGACTGCCTCTGGCAACCACCAATCTATTCTCTGTATCTATGTGCTTGGTTGGTTTGTTTTTTAGATTCTACATATAAGTGAGATCACATGGTGTTTCTCTTTCTCTGTCTGACTTATTTCACTTAACATAATGCCATCAAATGATGTTGTCGCAAATGGCAAGATCTCATTCTTTTTTATGGATGGATAATATTCCATTGTGTCTATGTGTATTATATATATGGATATAATACACACATACCACGTTTTCTTTATCCATTTATCCATTGATGGACACTTAGGTTGTTTCCATATCTTGGCTATTGTAAATAATGCTACAATGAACATGGGGGGGCTATGTTGTTGTTGACCTTGTTCTAAAATGCCTACTTCCACTCTCCTGCCTTAGGAAGTGGTGATGGAATTGGGATCTCCTAGTTGAGGAGTAGCGCTGGCAGGGCCTAGGGCTCCACTACTCCAGGCAATATCACCTTCCATCCAGAATCCTGAACCTGTAGCTAGAACAGGGTTAGCTGACGGTGTCCTGAACCCAGGAAGCTTGGAGGCAGGCTGGTGCATGCAGAATTGACAATGGTATGCCTCTTTCCCTCCACACTATTGACTGGGAAGAAATTGAGTTTTAATGAATTTGAACCTAGTTAGGCTGAACTTTCCTTAGCATAAAAGGCTGAAATATCAAGGCAGTGTCCAGAGCTTCAGCAACTCTCATGTCCCAGCAAGACAAGTCACAAACCCCTCTGGCCTCCTTGCCAGACTACCTTTTTAACTCTCAAGAGGGTTCAGAGGATGAATGACCCCTTAGTCATCCTTGAAGGAAACCTGGCTAAAAATCCTATGTGCTCCTCTTGATTAGTTACTTCAGACTAAAGATGGGCTTTTCAAATAGGGAGCTATTTTCCTCAGTATGACTTTAAAAGGAGTCTAGTTTTCCCCATGCTCAGCTCCCCCCACCCCACCCATCACCCCATCACTAGACACTGTCTCTAGTGAGGAGGGGGCAGAGCAGCACGACAGCTGGTGATCTGCTGTTAGGATACTAACATTTCTCTATCCTGTTACCAGGCACAGCATTAACAGCAAGGACACAGTGCAATCCACTAGCTAGTCTTGCATACAAGACCTGGAAAATAAAGAATACTAAAAGTGAGAGGATGGAAACAAAGCAATAAGCTGAGACCAGAGCTTGGCACATGGTCCACGCTGAAGGGAGCGAATGCAGTATTAACTTTCCTAAGATATTCTAGCAATAATGAAATAGCTTCTCCCACTGTGGTTTAAAATCTCAACAGCAAATAGATTTGCATGTTGTGTTTTTCTGTTATGACATTACCTGTTCAATATGCTAAACCAACCCCTTTTTTCCTTCTGATTTTAGGTTTGGTTTAAGAATAGGAAGGACAAGTGTTGGAGACATGAGAGGGCTTTAGTCCTCAGAACTATGTCACCCGTTGCCATGGGTCACCCTGTCATCATAATCTTGGATGGACTCTATAATGCCATGTTTGTTCTGGAGCCCAAATGGAGTTGGGTTCCTCTGGTGCCGCTGCAGCCCAGAACACCCAGGCCACCCAAGTGGGGTTAGTAGTGTATGGATAGGAACTGCTAAGGAATGGCAAGGAAGCCTCCTTTCATAAGGTGACATCCTTGAGTCACTATCAACAGGCCCTGTACTTCTCAGACACATACATGTGCAAGACAGGGTAGGGTAAGTCCCTAGTGAGAAAACAGCGTGTTACAAGACGGGGCAGAGCTCCATTCACGCTAAGGAGCTCAGGCACAAACCTACACTCTAAAGGAGTCTGCCTAAGAAGCTACTCATAGGGCTTTACAAGAAGGTGGCACCCAGACATTCATCTAGTATGCTCCAAATTCTGTTCACTGCCCTCCTTTTGTGGAGGACATAGGGGAACAGAAACCATTCTGGCCTAAAGGTCCTGCTGCTTCCAAGGAGATGCCATCAAGGCCACAGTGAGGCTCCTCTCCCTTTTCTCCCCTCCTCCCATCACAGGAGCTGTTATTGTGCCTTCCCTGGCCCAGAAGTGATGATCACACCTTCAAATGCATTTTGTCTCATTCAACATCCTTGAGAGGACCCTGGTTCCTGATGATTAAACACTAGGTGGGAACCTTTTGGTTTAGTGCTGCTGGAAGCAAGAGGATGGAGATGGTCCCCTGATTAATATTCTAGATTAATGGATCACTGAAAAGCAGCAGTCAGACCTTGGCTTTCTTCGTGCTGTCTTCCTCATGTGAAACTGCCAGGCTAGAAAACAACAAAATTAAAAATGGACTGTTGGGGGCCAGCTCCGTGGTGTAGTGGTTAAATTTTGGCACGCTCTGCTTCAGTGGCATGGGATCGCAGGTTCGGATCCCCAGTGTGGATCATCTCTGGCTCACTCGTCAGCCATGCTGTGTGCAACCCACACGGAAAATGGAGGAAGATTGGCATAGATGTCAGCTCAGGGCTAATGTTCCTTAGTAAAAAAAAAGAAAAAGAAAAAGAAAAAAAAAAGACTGTGATAAGAATTGAGGAATTACCATTAAATTTCTTAGGCATTATAATGGTATTGTGGTTGTTTTTTGTAAAAAGAGAATGTCTATCTTTTAGAGAAACATGCTGAATTATTTATGAATGAAATGATATCTGGGATTTGTTTCAAAATAATTGGGGGCGGTGGCAACTTTGCACAAGTTGATAATTGTTCAAGCTGGGTCATGAGTACATGGGAGATCATTATTCTATTCTCTGTACTTTTATATATATTTGACCTTTCCCATAATAAATTAAAGAAAAAAATGTACCTCTAAAACCTTAATACCTTGAGCAGATAAACATGCTTTTGCTGCTGTCTCATTTGTTGTTAAAGAGAAATTAATTCGTTCAAACATTTATGTCAGGAACTATGCCAGGCACTGAAAGCACAGAAATTAAAGTCACACCAGGTATTAGATGATATAAGGAATTATTACTAATTTATTGGGCGAGATAATGGTATCATGGTTAAGTAGGAAAATGTTCTTACTTTTTAGAGCTGCATACAGAAATCTTTAGGGTGGCGGTGTGATATTTATAATTTACTTTGAATTTCTCAGCAAAAAATCCATATTTGAAACAAATATGGCATCATACTAACAACTTAAACTCTGGTTGATATGTATGTAGTATTATACTATTCCCTTTACTTTCCTGAATGTTTGAACCTTTTCATGATGAAAAGAGAAAAAACTCTGTGTATGTGTTCAGGGAGGATGCTCTCCAGGAGCTCAGGCTAATGGAGGAGACAAAGGTGGACAGAGAATTAGAATCTGCAGTGAGAGAGGGAAGCGCGGGGTGCTCCGGGTATACAGAGGAGTCTCAAAATCAGGCCGATTTGGGGAGGGTGGTTGAGGAATGGTGGACCAGGAAAAGGTGACTCAAGCTAGTTTTCTTTGAAGTAGTTTTACTACGAAAGTAACACGTGCCCACCGCTGAATGAGTAAGCCGAGCCGCACGCAGGGAGAGACGACACTGCAGGCAGACGGGCTCTCGGCACCAAGTAAGAGTCAAGAGAAGGAAGATGGCAGACTGAGGAAACAGAAGCCGTTCTCAGGCTACAGAGGACGCTGTGAGAGGGAGGCACAGGGTACATGTGATTAGAGGGGGATCAGTCAGGTCTGACCTTTACCCTGAGGCTGCCGAAGGATTTTAAGCAGGGGCTGACATGCTCAGGTGTGTGCTTTAAGAAAGTTCAGTCTTCCAGCAATGAGGAAGAAAAGCGACCACGGGGGCCAGGAAACCCAGGTGACATCAGAGGAAGGGGCCCGTTTGTGTGATGTGTCCCCAGAGGAGGTACCCTGTCAGTCATCACCCAGGAGAAGGCACAAAGAGGTGGCTTTTGTGATGCGCCAGCCCACAGGCCGTGTCTTCCATAAATGAGCTGCCAGCCTGAAGGGGGTCCTTTAGGGTGTGCCTTTTTGAAAATTGCACAAAGGTGCCCAGGGAGTGTGAGAATTACACAAAAGAGCCCTTCTACGGGGCTGATGCAGGCTTGTATGACTCGGTTTGGCACCACGCGTCTTGCAGACCAACCCCAACTTAGTTTGGTGCCACAGGCCTTGTACAACTACACACAACCAATCTGGAGTGACCCTGCTTAGACTGAATCCCACCAGTGTGACCTGGAGTGTGGTACTTATAACCTGCTCTGCGCCTCCATTTCCCCGTCTCTAAGATGGAGCCTACAGTTACTGTGTGCGTTAAATAGAGAACGAGTATCAGCCCTCAGCGGGGTGCCTGGCACGAAGTCAGTGACTGTTCAAAAACTCTTGGCTATTACTATTGTTTTTAAGAGCCTTCTTCTAAGATAAGCTTTAAGAAGTACAACTAGTTTTGAAGCAAGGCTTGCAGAAGGATGGTTTTCTTACCGCTGGAGTCTGTTCGAGAATCAGAGTCACTGTCACTATCTTCAGAATACTCCTTGTGTTTTCTTTTAGGTGATTTTTTCTTTCTCCTTTGCTTAGACCTTTCTTTTGAAAGACTGGACTTTTTCCTTTCTTCTACATAAAATACAAATAAAAAACAAATTTCTAAAGGAGTATTTCTGAGTATCAATGATGGGCAAATTGAGTCAAAGCAAAGTTTAATGTTCAACTATTTATAAACTTATTTTTTAACTTCCCAATATAAAAACCACTGTATTTTAAAAATACTCTCTGAAGTAAAAGCTGAAGTGGTGCTTTTCTTTGTTTCTTCATCCTCTACTGGTGTATGTTCAATCAGAGCCAAATTTAAAGAAAATGGTTGTAAGAATCAGAAAAGTGATGACATATGGACCCTAGAGTATAAAAATATGGAATTAAAATTTTTCAGTAGCAAATTGACTGTCCAAGGACCATTAAAAGCGATACTGGAGCGCTTCTGTAAGAGTCCAGTTCAAGATTCTGCCACCTTCGTGATAACAGAATCATTTACTCTTGCATAAGGCTTTACAGTTTACAAAGCGCCATTCAAACTGACAGCAGCATGGAGGATTTATATGTTCCGAAGAGACCAAAGGACAAAAGTAAGCAAAGAGGAACCAGAAGGAGAGATGAAAGAAACTGGAGACAAGAAGGCTGAGGGCAGACTTCAGTCACAATTTTACTCCACGTGTGTAACGGACATACAGTAGGGCAGCAAGTGTTCCGTTTCCCCAGAGCAGAAAGAACTTAACACTCTGCAGTATAAAGAGACCTCACTCTGTTGTAGAGAATCCTGAAAATGAGTATTATTAAAATTCTCTAATCGTTTAGAAAGGGAATTCCTCTGTCATAGAATCTTTTCCTCTGAAGATCACATCTGGAATAATTTAGGTGTTGCCTAGAAAATTATTTTTAGGGTGCCTTCCAACTCTAATTCTTTGAGTTCAGATTCTTTGAGTTCAGTATCTGTAAGAACAAGTTTCTGAAAATAATGCATAACCCCATCACAAATTACAAGTCTACCTATCAAGCATATTATCTCAACTCAAGCTAAAGTAGACACAGAAATAGAGGAGCAGCTTATGAATAGCAGCAAAGAAAAAAGAAACATGGAGAAAGAAGCATTAAGCCTTCAAATAGTATTAGATGTAGAAAAATTAACTAAACAAAACCATACTGGCATATTCATCTTAAAAATCCCTTTATAATGCTAAACTCTGGAATGCAATCTGCTATTGGGTTAGTGGAGAAAAAATTCAAAATAATATAAATGTATTATTTGTTTTAACACTGAACCCTTCTATGAATAAGAACTTAGCACTCCATGACTTTAAAGAGAACAAATAGCATGCTAAAATCCACTGGCAACATGTTTTAATTCTTAGGTATGTTCTATGTTTTAAAACTTAAGGGATATAAAAGGATAAATCACAAGAAGGTAAAATGTGAGATGTACTTAAATGTTCTTCACCCATTAAAATTTTTGACAACAGACTCTGGATTTAACAAATGTTCTATTTTTAAAGTCTATTTTTTAACAACTTACTCTGGTTCAGGACCATATTAGTCAGCTAGGCTACCCTAACAAAATACCACAGACTCAGTGGCTTAAACAACAGAAATTTACTTTCTCACCGTTCTGGAGGTCAAAAGTCCAAGATCAAGGTGCCATCAGGGTTGGTTTCTGGTCAGACCTCTCTTCCTGGCTTGTAGCCTGCAGCCTTTTGCTGTGTCCTCATGTGGCCTTTCCTCTGTGCTCAGGTGGAAAGGGAGGAGGGGAGAGGCAGAGACAGAGACAGATAGAGAGTGAGAGAGTTCTGGTGTCTCTTCCCCTTCGTATATAAGGACACCAGTTTTGTTTGATTAGAGCCCCACCCTTATGACCTCATTTAACCTTAATTACCTCCTTAAAGGCCCTACTGCCAAATACAGTCACTTTGAGGGTTAGGGCTTCAACAAATGAATTTTCTTTTCCAACAAATGAATTTTGGAGGGACACAATTCAGTCTATAACAAGGATTCTTTGGAGAAAGTCCTCATTCTTAAGGATTTCCCAATTCTCTAGTCCTCTCGCGCTCCGCTTCAGTGGCCCAGGGTTTCGCCGGTTCGGATCCTGGGTGTGGACATGGCACCGCTCATCAGGCCACGCTGAAGCAGCGTCCCACATGCCACCACTAGAAGGACCCACAACTAAAAAAAATATGCCACTATGTACTGGGGGGATTTGGGGAGAAAAAGCAGAAAAAGATTGGGAACAGTTGTTAGCTCAGGTGCCAATCTTTAAAAAAAAAAAAAAAAAGGTACAGATTACAGACAGCCTGAGCATCCAGGCTAGAAACGCAGCCCGGGAGGCTGGCTAGTGCATCCCTTCTGCCGCACGCAGGACAAAGCTCCTAACTGCTCATTTCACCTGCAGTATGTGACAGAAACAGTTTCACGTGTGGAAATCACTTCATTTGTTTACACATTTTTATGAAAGGAAAAAGAAGTCTGTTTCAATTTGGTTAAAACTTTAGTTTTCAGAAATCCGGGAATTAGTAAAGACAATTTAAGAAAATGAAGGACTAAAAGAAGCAGAAAATAAAGGGAGCTCTGAAAAGTTCTATGTGACAAAAGTTGTATTCAGTGAGATTCAGGGTGTCTTCCCTTTAGCCCCTTTTTGGAAAAGGAGCACATTGTCCATCTGCTCTGTGGAGGACAGTGAAAATTTTTTTGTTTTATTATAATGTTTGTCATTTCTTCTAATTTTTGCTGTTACTCATAAACTGAAAAAACAAAACTAAACAACTAACAGAGGCTCAATTCCCCCAAAGTTTAGCTGCTTATATCTCTATTTGGTTTTTTAAAAAATCCTTACAAAAGAAATATATTTGGTTACATTATTTGCATAAATTACTTTTTACTTTTTTATTCAGGGGAAATGGTATTATAACTATGCAGAGTTGGACTCAGAGGGTCTCCCACTTCAAGAAGCTGACAAACTAAAAGTAAACATACAAACAACAGTTCTTGGAATATATTAGTATAGGGGCCAACGATGGCTGCCACACTGTAAAGACACACAGTCCTTGTAGTGTAAGGCCTAAAATTAAGGCCCAATACTGTTACCAAACCAGGTTCGTTTTTGCCCATCGCCTGGAAAGCCAAACACCAAAATTGCAGCAGAGAGGGTTTTAATCACAAGGCAGCCAAGTGAGGAAGCGGAAAAACAAGTCTCAAGTCTGCCTCCTCAAAAATGGGGCCTTATGGGGTAGGGGGCAAAGTGGTCTGAAGTGTGGAGATAGATGTTTGGAGGTGACAAGAGGTGAGGTAGTTGATGATGTGTGCAAGCGTAGTCAGACTTCATGCCTCTCCACAGGACGCATGCTCACAAAACGGTGGCGGTAGCATGATCTGAGGGTGGAGTTTTTAGCCTCTTGACATCCAATGGTTACTTATTGGGCATCTGTGAGGGCCCAGTTGATGGGTTGGTGGTCTCAACCAGCCTGAACTGGACAAGGGGATCCTAATTCCTGAAAAACAGCTCAGATACCCATTACCATGGTGACCCAGGCTCCAGGGAGATGTTATCTATAGGAGCCTAGTGGGAGTCAGATAGCATATTGCCTGAACAGTTAACAGTGGGCGGGTAAACAGCTAAAAGCTATAATCAGTAATTGCAAAAAAGAAAAAAATCTCTAGTTACTAGCTACCTAATCACCAATGGCTAACTGTTTAGTGGTTTCAATATTATGTGCTGCCTTGACATCTGGGGAAACCAGTAGGGCCTCCAATGACCTAACTGCAAATTCCCCTCCTCGCTCTGCTCCTGCAGATAAAGTCCCCTAGGCAAACAACCCTCTTTATAACAGGGACCAGGCGCAGTTCCAGATTATCCCCGGGTAGTGGGTCTCAGTACCCTGCCAGCCTGTGGATCGCATCTGTCCAGTGTCAGGTGTCCTGCATTCAGATGCCCCATAACCTTAGGCAGGGAATTCCTCCCTCACCAACAGAGTTGAATAGGAGCCCATTAAAAGAGTCCCTGCTACTGGGGACATGAACAGACATTTCTCCAAAGAAGATATACGGATGGCCAATAGACACATGAAAAGATGCTCATCATCAGGAAAAGGCAAATCAAAACTACACTAAGATATCACCTTACACCTGTTAGAATGGCAAAAATATCCAAAACCAAGAGTGACAAATGTTGGAGAGGCTGTGGAGAAAAAGGAACCCTCATACACTGTTGGTGGGAATGCAAACTGGTGCAGCCACTATGGAAAACAGTATGGAGATTCCTCAAAAAGTTAGAAATAGAAATACCTTATGACCCAGCCATCCCACTACTGGGTATCTATCCTAAGAACCTGAAATCAGCAATTCCAAAAGTCCCATGCACCCCTATGTTCATTGCAGCATTATTCACAATAGCCAAGTCGTGGAACCAACCTAAGTGCCCAGCAACTGATGATTGGATAAAGAAGATATGGTGTGTATATATATATATATATATATATATATATATATACACAGACAGACAGACAGACAGACACACACACACACACACACACACACACACACACAATGGAATACTACTCGGCCATAAAAAAGGACAAAGTCGTCCCATTCACAACAACATGGATAGACCTTGAGGGTATTATGTTGAGTGAAATAAGCCAGACAGAGACAGACGAACTCTGTATGACTCCACTCATAGGTGGTAGTTAACATATAGACAAAGAGAACTGATTGGTGGTTACCAGGGGAAAGGGGGGGTGGGGGGAGGGGAGGGCACTAGGGGTGAAGTGGTATACCTACAACATGACTAATAATGATGTACAACTGTAATTTCACAAGGTTGTTAACTATCATAATCCTAATATAAAAAAAAAATTAAGGACACTGGGTTGAATTGTCAAGAATCCGTCACCCCAACCCCAGGACTTAAAAAAAACAACTTCAATGCTGAACAACAGAGGATAGGATAGGTTAATTTAGTTATGGTTCATCCATGCACACATAGGATATTATTCAAGCTTTTAAAAATTGTGTTTATAATAAGTTTTACTGACATGGAAAAATGCTTATTATATAATATTAATTTAAAAAACCAAGATGCGAAATTAATATATGTAGTATGAGCTCTGCTTAAAAGTGACATGCACAGGGAGGGATGAAGAGATGGGCAGTGAAGCTATTCTGTACAATACTGTAACGGTGGATATGTGTCATCACACACCAGTCAAAATTCATAGAATATACTACACAGAGTGAACCCTAGAGTCAGCTTGGACTTTAGTAAACAATAATGTATCAAAATCATCTCATCAATTGTAACAAATACACCACACTAATGCATAGTGTTAATAACACGGAAACCTGGGGGTGGAGGAGGATGTGGGGGAGAGAGGGCATGTGGGAACTCTGCACTCTCTGCTCAATTTTTCTGTAAACTAAAACTGCTCTGGAAAATAAAGTCTATTAATTAAAAAGAAATACATGCATAGGTGAAAAAGACTGGAGGGACAAACAGTAAATGTCAGCCAGATGTTGTAATCCTACAAGATGCTGATTAAACAAATAGACGCTCAAAAAAAAAAAAGAGTCCCTGCTACTACCTGGTTTCATCTGTACTCAAGACAAATTATCTTCTATATGCACAAGTGCAAATTTCATCCAGGCTGTTCTTACATTTTTTGGTTAGGATTCTAAATTAAGAAGCTGTTTGTCTTTTGACTGACAGACTGGGGGGAATCTTTCTGAAACATTTAACTTGGAGAGGTAGGTCTCCAGTGTAACTCAGGGCTATTTCTTACTGTTTATGCTCCCAGACATGAAACCCTAAAAGCTAACACAGAATGTGTATTATGTTCCAGGCATTAAATCATTACAACAACCCTAAAAATGTCAGCACTATTTTTATCCCCCTTTATACAGGTGAAAAAATGAAGCTTAGGGGCTGGCCTGGTAGTATAGTGGTTAAGTTTGCGTGCTCAGCTTTGGCGGCCTGGGTTTCGCTGGTTCAGATCCCAGGTATGGACACGGCACCGCTTGGCACACCATGCTGTGGTAGGCATCCCACAAATAAAATAGAGGAAGATGGGCATGGATGTTATCTCAGGGCCAGTCTTCCTCAGCAAAAAGAGGAGGATTGGTGGCAGATGTTAGCTCAGGGCTGATCTTCAAAAAAAAAAAATAAAAATAATGAAGCTTAGAGAGGTTAAGTAACGTAAGTGCCCAATGTTTTTAACAATTTGTTAAGTGGAGCACAGGGTGCCAGATGGTAGCCAAAGTTCAACAACAGGCCACTAGAGAAAGTGAAATAGAGTAGTTTATTACTCACAGGTCCTGGAGGAAGTACACAGCATGCCTCAGGGGCCACAAGGGGAAGTCAAGGCAGAGTGCAAAGAGAGGCAGGACCTGGGACACCTGCCTTTATTAGGGTCTGTGAGTGGAGGGCTTTGGAGTTCCCAGGCTAGGGTGAGATGAGTCCATTTAAACCAAAAGAGTGGGGATTTGGTAAGCCCCACGAGGGTCTCATCTAAGGGGCCCACAAGGCACACAGGCGCTGGGAGGCAGGGGAGACTGGTGATCACGAGGGCTGCTGGGGAAGTCAGAACAGGAACTTAGAGTTGTTTCTGACTCTGCAGCTTGCTAGCTAGGGCATGAGCTTGCATGAGGGGGCTAGTGTCAGTTTCAGGTCC